GAATACCACTTGGTACTAGAGGTTCGTAAAATACAGTAGATGTTTTATTAAACAAGCCTTTCCACCGTGTGACGTCGACGGCCTGAAACTGGCTGGCTGTTTATCTGGCTCTAACTTGGCATCGAACGCAACTAGGGGATTATCGTATCATGTTTCAAGACGGGTATATCCAGATAAAGTTCGACGTGAACCAGGCTTATAGTATCCAGGCATGCAATCGAAAGCTTCTCATTATCACAACTCAGATGTCATTAATTCAAACCAAGGAACAGCACTAGTCACAAGATAAATTGAATTGTATTTATTCAACTTACAAAGGCTCACACTGCTTCAATATTATGTTATATTACTACATTTAAATCTAAGCATGCCTTAGTATAAATTTAATATCTATATTTTGTTTTAAATTAAAAACTAAAATAATGGTAATTAAATAGTTATTCTTTTCTTTGATTTACAGTTTCATTCGTCACTCATCTTCTTCTTGACTAAAACAATGCGAGTTAATTTTACAACTATTATAAACAGTTAATATACATATTGTATTTACAAAAATATTCAACTTTCTTTCAACCCCCACCTTTATTTTTTGCACACTGACACATTCCTTCAGATATATCTCTATTGCGCACATTCGCAGATATGATTGTACTTGACAATACAAAATTACCTACTACACGCATTCGTGACTTGGACTGCGTTCACATTACACTTTTTCCAGTTATTTTGTTTATTGGATTGATTTGCTAAAAGTTAATATGAATAAAGTATAATATGAACTTTATACGCACATTATATATATATATATATATATATATATATATATATATACATACACATATACATACATATATACAGTATATGTATATATATATATGTACATACACACATATAGACATATATATATACATATATATATATATATATATACAAATATATACATATACATATATATTTATTTCAGCAATGTAATAAAGTATTTAATTTACATTAATACATATAATTTTACTCTTTAATGATTCACTATTATCGTAATAATAATAATAATAATAATAAATATAAGTTCAAATGTTGTACTATATTTAGATAGCACAGATGGTTAACTTCATATCGTATTTTCTTAGTAAAACAATCAATTTCGTGGGATCTAAGCAAAAAAATTAGCACCAATTTATGTCATCATTCTTAACCTACGAGTATAGAGAGATTACGCTATCAAGTTACTAGTACAGGTATCTGCAAGAAAGTCATAATTAGCACGCTAGGGGGCAGCAGACTAAATATAAAAATACCAAATTTGTCAACGTCAATGTCGGCAGCTTCTTAGCAAAGCATTTAAAATTCAATTTGTGTAAACATGTCAATTAGACGAATTACGGACCGAAAAAAATACAGCTTTATTGCACCCAATATTTTATCTGCTAAGCAGTTAATGTAGTAGATCTACCATTTAAAAAGCCTTCGGATATTTTCCTTGGAAATTTTCTGTTGCAAGGGAAAATACTAAACTTTACAAACCTAGCATGCGTCTCAGGGGCAACATGGACGTTATATTGTGGAGTTGATATATTCGCATTTTTATCAAATACTGTACTTACGGTAATAAGTTTACTACGTCTTGTAGCACAATAATAGGGGCTGTCGATTTGCGCGACGAGGCGACACTATAACGGATTCACCCATGTGTGACCGTCCTACGTCCTCTGCCCATGGACCTATTAATAAGAATTATTAATAGGTCCATGCTCTGCCTAAGGAAAATTTGGACAAACTACGTCCTAGAATCCATGCAGACCGAATTTAACGCTCTCGCATGCGCAGATGAATTTATGTGACGTAATTACGTTCTACCGTTGTGGTGCAATCAAACGCTTCTTTATGCCTTCAACAGAAACTTACATCTTTTAAAGAAAACTGCCCTCACATGATCAAGTTTGCCAAAAATATATAAGCATTATATATCTCATCTATTTAAAAGGTTTAAAAAACTAATGCAAGTATTGAACAATTTTAGAAAAACATTACAATTACGAAATAAATGGGGTCAAAAATGTACATGACTATGTGAAATCACAACTTTAAGTAAAACAGCAAAAGTATGAAATGGTAAAATACGATATAAAGATTTCAGTGTAAATAATGCTTTATATAATAAACATACCTACACACACATATATACACATTCTGAAAAACAGCATGATCAGAGTTAAGATGTGTATATATA